CTGCCTTCCAGTAGCTGGAACTGCAGGCGCGCGCTACCACGCCCGGCTCATTTTTTGATTTACTGTAGAGATGAGGTCTCGCCAAGTTGCCCAGGCGGGTCGCGAACCCGTGGGCTCAGGCCATCCGCTCGCCTCGGCCTCCCAAAGTGCTGGGGTGACAGGCTGAGCCACCGAGCCCGGCCCAGTGCAGGGGTTTCTAAACACAGGCGCTGCGTCTCTTGACTTTGTCTTCCTAGGAAATCTCGTCCCCCAGGCCCACGTTGCACGCAAGTGGATACTGAGCCCCTTGCCCCAGCCCCTGTTCCTGTGAGCCCACTGCCCCCTGCCTTGCCCCAGGGTCCTGGAGTCACCCCTTTGTGGGTTGGTGAGACACCTCATCCCTCTGGCGTGCTGTCTCCCGTGCTGCAGGGTCGCCCCTGGTGGGTATAGGCTGATGGGGGTAGGGTTGCTTCAGACTTTGTTTTGGCCTCTATATTTACTTGTCACCATAAACTCCATTAATTTACTTTTTGCTACTCAAAACATTTACATTTAAAATAAGCTCTATTTTTAAATTACAAAAGTAATACTGCATATGAATGGCTAGCAAGCACATGACAAGATGCTCAATATTATTAGTCATTAGAGAGATATAATCAAAAGCACAGTGAGATAACACTTCTCACCCACCAGGATGTTGATAGTTTTAGTCAAGGGATAATAAGTTTAGCCGGGCACGGTGGCCCATGCCTGTAATCCCAGCTACTTGAGAGGATTGCTTGAAGCCAAGAGTTTGAGGCTACTATGAGCTGTGGTCACACCACTCCAGCTTGGGTGACAGAGTAGAAAAATCAAATTTAACGATGTGGAGAAATTGATTCCTCATGTTGCTGGTGGGAATTTAAAACAACGTAACCACCTTGGAAGACTGACAGTTTTTCAAAAGGCTAAACAGAGTTACTACATGACCCAGCAATTCCACTCCTAGGTATATACCCAAGGGAAGTGAAAACATACGTCCACATGAAATGGACACAAATGTTGATAGCATCGCTATTCGTCATAAAGGTGGAAGCAGCCCAAATGTCCAAATGAATGGGTAAATGAAATGTGGAAGCTAGGCCTGGGGGCTCGTGCCTGTAATGCCAGCACTTTGGGAGGCTGAGGCAGGAGGATCATTTGAGTCTAGGAGTTTGAGACCAGGCTGAGCAACATAGTGAGAACCTGTCTCTAAAAAATTAGCCAGGCGTGGTGGTGCATGCCTTTAGTCCCAGCTGCTCAGGAGGCTGAGGTGGAAGGATTGCCTGAACTCGGGAGGTTGAGGCTGTGGTGAGCTATGATCCTGCCACTGCACTTCAGCCTGGACAACAGAATGAGACCCAATTTAAAAAAATAAATACGAGCCGGGCTCAGTGGCTCAGCCTGTCATCCCGCGCCTTTGGGAGGCTGAGGTGAGTGGATTGCCTGAGCCCGCGGGTTCGAGACCCGCCTGGGCAGCGAGACCTCATCTCTACAATAAATCAAAAAATCAGCTGGGCGTGGTAGCGCATGCCTGTAATTCTGGCTACTCGGAAGGCTGAGGTGGAAGGATCGCCGGAGGCCAGCTGGTCGAGGCTGCGGTGGCCGGGAGCGGCCACTGCACTCCAGTCTGGGCGACAAGAGTGAGAATCCAACTCAAAAAAAAATAATAAAATAAAAATACGTAAAATGTAGTATGTTCATACATTAGAATACCATTTGGCAATAAAAGGGAGCTAAATACTGATACAGCCTATAACGGATGAACCCTGAAAACATGATGCTGGGTGAAAGAAGCCAGACACAAAGCACCACATAGAGTATGATTCCATTCATATGACATGTCCAGAAGAGGCAAACCCAGAGAGACAGAAGTTGGTGGTTGCCTTGGGCAGCTGGAATGAGGGGGCAGGGGAGCAGAAGGGAAGATGGGGAGGGACTGTGAATGGGTACAGGGCTATTTTTGCGGATGATAAAATGTAAAATCAACCGTGGTGCTGGCTGCATTGTTGTGTGAATTTTTTTTTTTTTTTTGAGTTGGAATCTCACTCTGTCACCCAGACTGGAGTGCAG